AAGGATCAACTCCTAAGATTGAAAAGAGAAATTTTTTTATTACAATTAAAATAGGAAAATGTACAAAAAAATTACATAAACGGGGCCCACTCCGTGCAAAAATTTTATGAACGAATTCTCAATTTTTCAATTTTAATGTGTTACTTTGTTATTCATGTTTGAAATGACCTCCAGTATAAAAGATATTTTAATTTTATAAAAACTAGAGCGTTTTACATTAGTGATTATATGAAATTGCTTAAGAAAACAGTGATTATATTTACATAAAGGACTGAAAATTTTGAAATAAAACAGTGATTGATAAATCTGAAGGTCAAAACACTTCTACTGTAACACAGAACATACACAAGAAATTTCCGCAAATTATTTTTAAAACTTTTTGAGCAATCGCTGTTCTTGTTTGAGCTTTTCGAAAAAACACATTTCGAGTAAAACGCATTTTGAAATTTTACATCTTATGTAAAGTTATGGCATCTGTTTTTACCAAAACTTTTGTAGTTTTTGTTCTAGTCAACGGAAAATAAGGAACTTGGTATTTTTTTAAAGCTAATAAGATGGCCTATAAAAAAATAGAATCATAAAAAAAATTGTCAATCTTTTTATAAAAAACATGATTTTAGGGTAGTCGGATATCTTAATCTCGTTTTAAAATGATTTAATCCATTGCATTTATAATTTACTAGCTGAAGGACCCTTTCTGGCACGGATTAATTTTTTTTCTCTTCCACTCCATAAAAGGAACGCGGCTACTAAATTTCAAGTCCGTAGATCTAATAAATCAAGAACGGGAATATTTGTCTATAACGTCCCTTAAGCACCCGCAGCACACCATATGGTCGACACATGTAAAAATTGAACTTTCTTCATGGATGCGAAATAGACGGCTTCCACACCATATTACTCCCTGGATCGTACCGGGGTTCGTTTCTGAGTTTTAGAGCATGCACATTGAAAACTTTCTTCTATAATATATACTGATGATTAAACAACTGAATTGTGTTCAAATGAACAATCGTAAAAATAACAAGTTAACTTCGAAAAATAACGCAAAAACATAAACTCTGGAACCAAATAAGGGGATTTATATCATTTTAATTGAATGTAAGATGTGACGTAAAAATGCTAATTTAATATCTAAAATAATCTACAAAATTTTTAGATAAATAAACGCAGCATTTGGTAAAAGTAGTTCAAAAGATCAATGGTTACAATTTAATTCATTTTTAATAAAGATGAAGGTCTGAAGAGCAGATGACGTATTACAGGCAAGAAGTAAATATTATTTATAAGCAACTATGTATAAAAATATATGTAAGTAGGTATATACATTCGTGCATAGGTATGTTAAAATGTTTTCAAATTAGGTAAGCAAACTCAATAATGGACGATAAATGAAATTATTTCGTACATTGGGAATGAATGAATTCATTTTAAATCATTATGCAACTATTAACTTATCAAAAGCAAGGGAATATATATAACCTTGTTATAAATAATATATCTAAACACTATCTGAAAATTCAATTATAATTAAAATGTACCCTAATACATTACAAAAAATAAACTTTTTGCCTATATTTTTAACTATAACAAACATAAATGTTTATTGTTCTATCATTTACAAATGCAATATCCTGTATATTAAATTTAGGTTCATGACATATTTTTATTGATCATTGCACTGTTAGAAATACAATTTTTTATTTGATTTTAAAATTAATTTCAATAGCATAGCTCAGAAATACAAAACAACACTTTAAATTAAGGAAACACAAAATTGAAAATGCATAAAAGCTTTAAAAAATGGATAAAATTAAACTTACTTTTCGATATCAGAATTATTTCGCTCATTATGAGCAATATAAAAGATTTAAATAAATAACAATAATATGGATTGGGTTTAATTTCGTGTTACATATTTTTTTCAAGTTAATTCTATATGTCTATGGATTATGCTGTCCTCTTTAACATTAAGAAGAATCACCTCCCTAAAGCATTCTTTGCCAGGAAAACGGAAATATATATGAATGATATAATAGGTTTATGAAAAGGATTTTGACCTTATATAATGAGTTCGTACTTATATTTCAATACAGGAAGTGAATAAAAGTAATCTTCTGTCATTAAAATATTAGTAATCGCATTTTGTTTTTTTTACACACATGTAATGTTATATTATAATCGGTGATCACGGAAAAGGTTTAGACTAAGAGGAAATTCCTAATATAATAATGGATTTAAAAAAATCGTTTTTTTTTATTACTTCTTTCTATTTTTTCGATAATTCATCGCGACTGTTATTTTGTTACTTGGTTTATTTTAGGAATCAAAATTTTTTTTCATATTTTGATTTGAAATTTAACCAGCAGGAAAAAAATTACAAAGAATTAGTTAGATTTTTACTTAAGAGTATCGATGATGTAGCTAAAAATATATCGACGGTTACCCCAGAAAAATTATTAAGTGCTTTGTCTTCACATTTTTCGTGATGCTTCTATCTGTTTATTTTTCCTCTTCTATAAGAAATGAATAAAAAAATGGAAGCAATAAATATAATAATAATAACGGATATTGTTTTCTTAAAAATTTTGATAGTATAATAAATTGAATAAAGATTCAATGTAATATAAACAAGAAAAAATGGAGTTAATGTGTTTATTAATGAAATTATTTATATTTATATATAATACGAATGTCAAACTTTACAGTTGAAAATCAATAAAACTTCTTATTTATTAGTCTGTTGTATTTTTAATAAAAAGTATAAATCTAAAAATTTAATTAGTAATATTAATGTAAAGATTAATCTAACAAAACGTCTCATTTTTTATAAAGATGAGATAGTAAAACTATTAGCATATAAAATAACTCTTAATGATAGATATAAATTTAAAAGTATTAATAAAATAACAAATACATACGAAATAATTGAAGTATAAAAATGAAAATTTATGGAAAAATATACAACGATTGTACCTTAAATAAAATGTTAACCCCTTCGAAAATTAATCTTTTTGCAAAGCAGCTTAGTGTATAATCCTAAATGTCTTTGTATGTGTGACTAACAGAGTAATCAATGATTGTTTGGGATTTTTGAAACATTAGTTTTTTAAAGCATTTATGGGAATTTTCTATTGAAAAATTACTTTTAAAAATCGTAATGAATTGTTAATTAAGTTAATTAAAATTAATCTATTATACAACCATTTCAATATAAATTCTCTTTGAGGTAACAATAATATCATTAAAATTGTTCAGTTGTGATGCGATGCTTAGGAATAAAACAGAGATGTAGTAGCAAAAATAGTATAATTCCCATATTATTAGCATCAGTGAAATTTCATTAAACCTACAACAGAACAAAGTAGTTGTTAGCTCTGCTAAATATTAGATACTTCCTCTATCTGATTAATTTTTTTAAAAAAATAGATCTAGGAAATAAAACAATATAATTATAAGTTTTAAGCCATTTTAATAAGTAATTATGAATTTTAAATACTAATGAATGTAAGTTTCAGTGAAAAAGACAAGTGATCAAAATTATCAACTTAATTGTCATCTGTGGCTACACGTCGAAATTTTACTGCAGACAACTCTTATGGTTAATGCATAGAAAATATTAGTGTGTATTTATATGAATTCATTTTGCAATTATTTGATTGAAATGTTTTGAAAACATTCATGGTTTTGAAAACATCATTCTACAAACAAAATGTGTAAATATTTTCTGCTATTGTAATACTAAAACAAAAGCATAATTCTGAAAGTAAGCTTTTTTTTCTTAAACAGATATCTTAATTATTTAATATATTTTCGAAAGATTTTATCGTTTATTGCTTCCTAAGCTAATTATTTCGTAATTTTTTAAATTAATAATTTACTTTTTAAAAACATACTTTTTAAACTATTGATTTAAAAAATATTTAGTGACATTTGAATATGTAGTTATGTAAAAAAAAAGCGACATTGTATTTGCTTATGAGGTCTAAAACTGATTTCAAGAACTATGGTACTTGTTTATCTAATGAAAACATTTTACAAAAATATATGAAATAACTTACTTATAATAATTTTATTTGAAGCACTGCGCAATTAAATGTATCAAGATACACTGGAAGTGTAAAGAAGTCTTTACTTTTAAGGGAAATTTAAATGCAGTGAAATTCTGTTGTTTTTGACCTTGGAAACAACGGCAATCAAATGGAGATTTGATTGATGTACGACGACTTATTTGAACTGACTCAGATTAATAGATTTTCCTTACATTTGATTGCAACATACACACAACTTTAGAGAAACACATCGAAAGTCAATATTGCAAGAGTTTTATATTGCATTATTTTTAACGCATTATTTTTAAAATATACATTTAAACTAAAGAGTGTTTGTGAAATATAATATATTGAAGAAAAACGTGCATTTGCATGCGTTTCATTTAAGTCGTATGTAATTTTGAAGAAATATATTTTAAAATATTTTCCTAAAATGGTCTCTTAATACATATTTAATGCTAAATGTGTTCATTTAAAAAAATCTTGAAAAATATCAGGACTATAGTTATCAAGGTGTTAGAGGAAGAGGCAACAGCTCCCCAACACACTTTTTAAGAAAAAAATTTAATTTTTTATTCCACTGTACCACCTAAAACTATAAATTCAATTAAATATATTTTTTAAAAAAAAATGCTTACTCTCTTCTTTCATAACAGAATTTCCTATCCTTTCTTTATTTTTTCAATTCCTACTATTAGTTCACACTCTCCCTATATAATATATATATATATATATATATATTAAATTTCAATTTTCAATAGTTAATAAAGTACTTTATATTCATCCATTCAAATTCAAATATGTTTTTTTTAAACTTTAGTGGATGACACTTGATGTTAATACAGTTTTTTCAAACATTAATTCATTCATTCAACTAAAAAATGAATAAATAGTAACAACAAAAATAATAGTCCAACAGCATATAAAGAAAGGAAAGTCTCTTGTAGTGTCTCTGTAGTGCAATAGATAGCACTTTGGACCTAATTCAAATTTCGTAGGTTCGATTCCTATCTAGATGACCTAATTTCTGAGAATGTCAGTTCTTTTTTACTGTACTATTTTATTAGAATAATTAAATTTGTGATTAAGGAATAAATAGCAACAAACAAATAGTTCAATACCACATATAAAAAGAAAAATAGAAAATTGCAAGGAAAATCGCTTTCTAATTTGCAACTTAATATTGTGATTCTGTCATATGTATATACATATTAATATTATACAATTGTAACCTATTTAATAAAAAACAACTTAAGTAAAATTTTTCTTTGTTGACCTTGACCTAAGTAGGAATCGACTTAATTTTTTTTTATTACTTGTTAAGAGTAATACTGATGGAAATACACACAAAATGCTGTGCATCATTATTAAATTCATGCGTAGAAGTTAAGCGATTGTGGTACAGGCGAAAGTGGGTAGACCAGGCAATTTCTATTTCTAAACATTCTTTTCATGTATATGAGCGAGTGAGGGAATATTAACGTCGTGCTACTCAGTTATTTGAGAGCTTTTGGTGACGGACCTTATAATTTTGAATTATGGTCGTGAAGAGTACGACACCTGAGGTGGCACCCCCTCTTCTAATTTCCACTCCGCTACAGCAACGAAAGGACATTTGAGTTCTCGATAGGTTTAATGTGCATTCTCCTCTACACGACGGGTCTTCAGCGGTACTAGACTCGAGCTCATGACACGTAGGCTACGATACGGTTACCTTTACTATTATGTTACCGCGGCTACTCTTGTATATATTGAGATTAAAAGTTAAACATAATTGAGGAGATATATTAATTAAATTTAGGAATAAAGTTATAAAAACTAAATTTAAGGAAAAAGTTTTGAAAATCTTTAAATAGATTCTAATACATTAATATAAAAAAAAATTATATGGTGTAAGTTAGGTTTGGCGAACCTTATGGATCAACGTGCAATTTTTCTAAAGAAGTGTTTAATGAGGTATAGATGTGCCGTGAAGTAATTTTTTCTTGTGACTGATGGGAAAATAATATATAAAACTATATACTAACAACTCAAAACTTGTTATTTACTACGAAAAAATACCTTTTTTCTTAGTATAGTTGTAGAATGTTTTAGCTAAACGTGTAATTCAAATTAAAGTAAAATTAGTGTGACTTCCGTTGTTGCCCATTGGATGACAAATAACTTTTATTAGGATAGTAAGATGTATCTTTTAGTAGAATGCATGCTGAATTGGAGTCATCTGCCAAATGGTTTCTAAGTAATTAATTCTTTTTTTATGGCTCACTTTCTTTGAATAGAGGATTTATTTCAAAATGCCGTATTACAGAGGGTGTTCTTCATAACACTGTTCCAAAACAAAAACCCACACCGCTATCTCGCCTTTACTAATAATACCATATTTCTAGATTCACCAAGTTTGAGACTCTCTGTTACACTTACTATCTTGCATTTTTTGTTCTTTTGCTTAACTAGCCATGTTAAATAACAGTTAAAAATCGTAAACATTACACAAATTAACTTTAAAATACAGTTATGTCTACGAAATTGACTCTGCTATGCGTAGACAAATTTTGTATCATAAGTAACAGTAGTCCACGACGTAACTAAAGCAAAACAGCAAATAATAAACGAGTGTGCGCCTCGCGACCGATCACTCGAGTTTGTTCATTATACTTCATGTGAACTTTGATATTTTGAAATAAAATGCAAAAAATTTTTACTGTTGGCGTGACCAAAATATTGTGTGGCGTGCCATTGATGGCACGCGTGCCACTGGTTGACCATCCCTGATGTGGGTTATTATGCAAACTTTTTAGGTTTTGTTCGGGTGGCAGTTTCCTCACATTCTAAGACTGCGTTTATATTTGACTGTAGAGATAACTTATTCCAAGCAGTAAAAAAGGATGTTCGTGATTATTGTTGGTAAATAGTGTTCCAAATTTGCCATCCTCCCACTTTTGATAATTCTTGGAGCTTTAGCATGGTGTAATAGAAAACATATCGCTTACTTTACGCGAGGCACGATGAACGATGGTATTTTTTAACAGAACCAGGACATCACACACATTCAAAAAATCGATTTTTCAATTTTAGTATTAAAAAATAGTGCATTATTTTTAATGCACTATTATATGTTTGTTGAGAAAATAACCTTAAAACATAAACAAATTAATTGACAAAAATAAAAGCAAACACTTACAAATTTTATTTTGTTCACTTTTTCTCCAAAGCATAATTTTATGCTTCTAGGTACACTTTTAAAGTAAAAGCTATTGCACTATATGGTTTCAGATTTAGTATACTTCTATACAGGATACCTGTGCATATAGGGAACCTATTCTTTTTTAGTCGAAGTAGTACATATTTTTTTTTTAAAAAAAAAGAGTTTTATGAGTGAAAAAGGGGGAAGAAATAGAAATTTTCAAAATCACGAAGTTTTACAATTTTTTTTAAAGAAACTATCTTGATATTTTAGTAAAAAATTAGGTTCACTATATTTTCTGTATTATTTTATACATGTGCAAAAAAAGTATTTTACATATTTAAGATGTACATTTAAAAAAAAATGGTACCTAAACATAATCATGTATTATGAGATCTCAAAAATTATATCCAACTTAAATCAGGCGGGAAAAAAAATTTTTTTTTAACTAAAACATTATTTTTGTATTTCTACAGAATGATTTAAATATCTATTCAAGATTACAAAAAAAGAATTTAATCTCTATTCGAAGTTTTTAAAGATATATTTCCCATAAATTAAGAGTTTGTAATTTTGACATTTTACTCTTTCGAGCATGTCCTAGTATCCTAAATTCTTGTCAATTTTATTGCCTAAGAGTTATAATTCACCCACATGCTACGAACATTTTCCAATCTCACGCAGTTAATGCATTTGAAATATCCGAGGCTATACTTTTAAGTAGTGGAGAGGATTCACGATGTTTTTTTTTTGTTACTTTTTTTACCCAAGACTAGGAAAGAGGACATTGTTCAGATAACAAAGGCTTAGAGCTTCATAAAATGAGCCTCCTAGGTAGAACATTACAGTATTCAGGAGTGTATTGCAAGCTCAAGCATGCCAAGCAGTATATTTCAAGCATATACTAATTAAGGACATTTTGCGTACAAGCGGAGAATTTAATGAGTTTTCAAATACAGGAAGTTATTTATATTTCATACAGTAATTCAATTTATTAAGCAAAATTTTTACAAAAAATTAAAATAAAAAAAATTTTGATTAATTGAAGCTAATCTCCACCAACGTTAGTCCAAACTAATTTAAAAGAAAGGAAAGAAAATATATAGCCTTTAATAAATAAAAGGTAAGAATAAAATGTTAAAAAAGGGCATAAACATGAAGTATTAAATAAATAATAATAAAGCAAAATAAAAAAGAAATATTTTAAAAAATAGCATAAAAATCGAAATCAATTTGGGCAAAAAGAACGAGTTTCAGACAAAAGTCAATAAAAAAAAACTGATAATACTTGCCAAAAAATATGTTGCAATTTTCTGACAGGAAGAGAGTTTTTGAGTTATAAGTATCACTTAGCATATTTATACACAGTACTCTCTGCCCAACCTTTTATCTTTCCTTGGAATGGTCAACGTTCGATAATTTTACCACGTCCAGCTGAGAGTGGAACATTGATTGTTTATATTTTAGATTGTTTTGATTTAATAGTTTTAATTTTTTTTTTGTATTTAAATATGCCTTTACAATAAAATACATTTACAGCAAAAATGAAAATGAAGTGATTTGACATGGAAACACTCGTACAAACCGTTGAGAAATATACTATCAAGATATATATTATAAATGTGAAAGTATGCTTGATGTTCGGTAGTCTTTCAGAAAAGCAACTGAATGGATTTTAATGAAACTATACAATAGTATAGCTTATACATCACACATATAAGCACAACAAAATTAATTATTTAAACTATTAATATTTTAATTGTAATGCTTTTGAATCATGTTTCCGATAGCAATATTTTATTTAAACATATTTTGAAGATTCTAATGTATACTATGTTTGTGTTATTCTAAGAATAAGCCTTCCATAATATATGTCTAATTTTACGATCTAAAATAAATTGAGATCTTGATACTTTAATGAAGCATTTGGAAAGTATTTCTTTGTATTAGAGAAAATAATTTTTGCATGTGTAAACATCTGCTTTTCAAGACCAAAATAGCCGTGGTAGCTTAGTGATCAAGGTCACAAACTCGTGGCTGGCATGTTATGAGTTCGAGATTAGTATAGCGGAGTGAGTGAGTGAGGGAAAATTAACGTCGCACTGTTCAGCTACTCAAGGGGCTTTGGTTCATCGCAATTTTGGGGTACCTCGCAATTCTGAACCTTGGTCAAGTGATGAGGACGATACCTGAGCTGGTACACCCTCTCCTGTAGTACCGCTGAAGACTTACCGTGCACAGGGGACTGATGCAAGTTAAATATATCGAGGCTCAAACGTCCTCCCGTTGGTGTGGTGGAGAGGTTAGGAGAGGGGGCAACTCAGGTGTCACCAACGTTACTTGACCGTGGTTCAAAATTACACAGTCCGTCGCCAATTGACCTTGTGCAGCCTTATGGTGTGATGTAAATAACTCTATCACTCTTAGGACAAAAATAAGTTTTTCTAGTTAACGTATTTTTTCTGCATACTTGTGAAATACACTATAAATACGAAGAGATAAGAGGAAGTGTCTTTGTATATCTTAATCTTGAATTTATTAATAGTGTTTTATAGTTTCATATACTAAATAATTTAATGTTCTTGTGTGGTTTAATACCTATTGCACTAATTGTGATACAAACTTCGTATTCTAAAATGAAATATTACACAAGTGCAGAACTTAAGCAACAGCCATAACTCCACGATAAATCATCCGAGAGACGTGAAATTCAGAAATGAGAGACAGCCTTTTATACTTAAAAGATGGTGAAAGCATAGTTGAGCAAAAATGAATAAAATGTATATAATACGGAAACAAACAAAAACAGTATCATAATATCCTTAAACATGATTGTC